GCTATAATCCTCTCAGTATGCCTGCTTAGGATCCCACAATCACACGAGTCATGAACACTACCCACAAATCCTGCGGCTTCCATGCCGAGCAAGCGACACACCAGATGAAGAAAGATGGAAAATATACATGTGGAATTGTTCTGGGAACTTAAAGCACACATAACAGTAAACAAAGCAAATATGGTGCAAAACCTGTTGCTATTTTCACAGCATTTGTGGAGCAAAGCTGCATAAATGCAGAAGGATGCATACTGCCTCACACCTTTCCTCCAATTCCAGCAAATTAAGCACAGCAGCACAAACAGCAGCAGGAAGAAGGAAACACTGAAGAAGAGCTGCCCCACTTGCTGCTGCACTACAGGTATATGTTTGGGTATGTGAATGAGAGACAAAAAAAAAAGGTGTTAAAATTACTTTTCCTCATGTCTCCTCCAGAGCCTTGGCTGCTCATGGAGATCTGAATGGGGAGAGATTCCCTCAGTGCCTTCCTCCCTCCTCCAGACACAGCCTAAGCCAGTTTGGAAAGATTGCTGCATGTGTTCCCTGTCCCACCTGGGGACAGGCTTCACAAATCCAGTGCCAGTTTGGTCTGGTAACTGAGAGACTGTCTCTGCTCCCCACTGAAAAGGCAGTGCCACTGTCAGATACCAGAGCACTTGCTGAAGTGGCACTACAGACAAATTTTGGCTGGTGGCAGGAGAGATGGCTGAAAGCCAGCTGACAGAGAAGAGCAGTATCAATCTCTATGCCGGGGGAATCCTCTGAAAAAGCTACTGAAGCAAACAGCAATCGCTAGCGGCACAGTGGCAAACAAGACACAAGTGATCCTGCTCTCATGGAGGAGAGAAAAAGGCAAACGGCTGAACTGAAGTGATCAACATGAACTTGAACCATGGCACAGGGCAAACATGTGGCATGCCGTATGGAAACTCAGAACAAAACAGAAAGCTTGGAACAAAATGAAATTAAAAATCTGCTTTTATTTCAAATTACTCAACTAAACATCTAACTGAAAATTGTGTTGAAGTTGATATGACTTTGTGACATGTTTTTCCTTGAAGGCTGCCATTTTCCATCAAAAAAAAAAGGTATGAAAAAGTATCAATCTGGTTACCTTCTATCCAGCAAGGCTAGAAAACATTAAACTGTGAGCTAAAAAATAATATCACACCATTAGTCAGCAAGAGATAGCTGTTTAGCCAACATCTATCATAGTATTTTCAACAATTCATAGATACTGAATGCCTGGAAAGGAAGGACAGCAATCATTCCAAGAATGTATTTAGAACTTTATATGCATTTGCTAAATGAATTTTTTTTAAGCCAGGCCCTGTGCAGCATTGCTTTGTTCACTGTTTCTAGATATAACCTATGTGGAAAAAGGTGATGAAATGTCCATCTCCAAAACGAATGAGCCTGGAGCATTAGGGCATTCTGTATTCAGAGGGGCCATCTGTTGAACAGCCTCACACTATAGCATCCCTGCAAAAGTACCTAAGCTGTCACATCTAGGGTTAATATATTGTAAGAAAAAAAATAATTATTTATGCATAATTTCTACTAAGTATCACAATGAAATCAGATCAAGAAGAATTGGATCAAGAGGAGTTAAAATGAAAAATCTAGAGCAACTCTCCTATGAAGAAAGGCTGAGAGATCTGGGACTGTTTACCCAGGAAAAGAGGAGGCTCAAGGGAAATCTCATCAATGTATATAAATACCTGAAGGAAGTGTGCAAAGAGGACAGAGACAGGTTCTTCGCAGTGGTGCCCTGTCACAGGACTAGAACCATAGAATCATAAAGGTTGGAGGAGACCTCTAAGATCATCAAGTCCAACCATTAACCTGCCACTCTGCTGTAACCCCTGAAAGGTAAACCATATCCTCCAGTGCCAGATCCAGATGCCTCTTAAACACTTCCAGGGATGGTAACTTCACCACCTCCCTGGGCAACCTATTCCAGTGCCTGAAGTGGAAAACTTTTTCCACTCATCTAGTCTGAATCTCCCCTGTCTCAGCTTATGACGGTTCCCTCTAGTTCCCTCACTGTAGGCATGGCAGAAGAGACCATTCCCCCCACCTCTCTACAACTCCCTTTCAGGTAATTGTAGAGAGCAATGAGGTCACCCTTGAACTGCCTCTTCTCAAGGCTAAACAAATTCAATTCCCTCAGCAGTTCCTCAAACAACATATTTTTTAGACCTTTTATGAGCTTCATGGCCCTTCACTGGACTCACTCCAGCACCTCAATGTCCATTTTAAAGTGAGAGGCCCAAAACTGAACACAGTACTCAAGGTGTGACCTCAACAATTCCAAGAACAGGGGGATGATGGCTTCCCTAGTCCTGCTGGCTACACTATTCTTGATACTGGACAAGATGCCATTGGCCACCTGTGCACACTGTTGGCTCATATTGAGCCACTGTTCACCAGCACTCCCAAGTCCCTTTCTGACAAGGCAATGGGCACACACAGAAGCACATAAGAAAAAAACATTTTACTTTGAGGGTAATCAAACAAAGGAAGAGAGATTGTAGAGTTCCTCTCCTTGGAGATATTGAAAAGCCATCTGGACACTGTTCTGGGCAGCCAGCTCTCAGTGGCCTTGCTTTAGCAGGGTAGTTGGACCAGATGATTTCCATTGGTCCCTGCCAACCTTAACCATCCCATGATAAACAGATGAATTACTGCCAATTATGTAAAATTATATAAGAAAAAAAATGAAGAAGTAACAGGAAAAAAATATTTCATATTAATTAGGGCATTATTGCACAATATTTGTCAATAATACACCTATTTGTCCTATAATACACCTAAAGGCATGAGACTAGAGGAATTGCTCCGCCAAGCCCAGCCACCAGGCCTAAAGTTAGCCCCAAATGCTTATATATAAACTCAAACACACCTGCAACATTAAAGTATAAAAGTGTATCCATAGATTTTAAACTCCTCCTCTCAAATTCATTAAGTTCAGAGAACTAATTTCCACTGGCAAACTCTATAGCTGTATCAGTGAATGACCACAGTGGGACCTGAAACAACAATCATCAGAGCTAAAGGCAGCACATAGTCTGTTTTAGTTCTTGTTCTCTGTCCTCTAGGGAATACTACAATCACAGAAACACTGCCTAGGTTATATAGTTTATTTGCCTGCCGGTGTGAGATTCTTCTCTACGCTAATTTTTAAAGCTTGCTTTTGCCAAGTTAAGAGCAATGTGTCACACCTAAAGAAAATGAGCTTGTTATGAGCCCCCTCTGCATTCTGTAGTACCCAATGGAGCATAATGCTGCATTGTGTAACAGGGAAGGTGCCAAATTGTTCAGACAACACACCACGCCAAAACCGGTGAGTCAGCAACATAACAGAGTCCCTCTGAGTGCTGGGCCTCAATACAAACACTCTTAATTCCTTGCTATAGCAGTGTCCTCTCCCCGGCTCAAGGCACAGCTGATCAGTCCTGGCATCTCACTGGAGTGAGATGTGCAATCCCTGTGCCGTGCAGTAGTAACACGTAAGAAATAGGCCAAGTGTGGAAGAGCAGGAGATAATTATTTGAGTGTAAGATGCAGCTTAACAACCCCTGGTCCTCTCCAGGGATCTCACTGATCACCAGACTCTTTCACCCTGAAGTGGACTTCAAATAACAACTCCAACCACAGCCACCCCGAAGAGTTAAAAAAAAAGAAGAAAGGTAATCCTAAAGGAGATGGCTGACAAAGAAGTGATTGTAAAGAAAAACATGTGGGGAAAATGCCAGAAATTTGATGCAAACATCCTCTATCCAAATACTCAGTTAACACGGATCAGAGTTGTCCTGAAGACGAGCTGCAAGGCTCCCACTTCTCACCAAACCCATTTGGGTGAAAAATTTCTGGTGTCATCTTCTATTGGGTAATAGTTTACTAGCAAGGTTTTCTACACAAAACTTAGATAGCACAAAAAGCAGAGAGATATCCGTTTAAACATGTTTCCACTGTATCTGTCTCCTATCCATAAAGGTACTCAAAGCTTTCAGCCATGGTTCTAACCATCTCAGAGAGTGAAGCCAGCCACACAAACTGTCCAGGATTACAAAACATAGACCATTCCACAGCTATCTAAACCAAATAAAATACACAATAATCCCTTACTTTCACCTTTAGGAGAACTTGAAAACACAAACAAATTTAGACATTATAAAAACAAGACTGTTCATATACCCCCAGCTTTTTCACCATGAGAATGTACATCGTAAACAACCTTTTTTTACCAGACACTTACTATTTTCTGCATATTTAAACACAGGTGTGGGTGCTTAGCAACTGTAAAACAATGTCATTTACTTAAATAACTGAGTATAGATTAAGGTAATTCATTTTATTTACGTACTTTTAAAATATTGTGTCTATTTTATAATATTATTGAACTCATAGAGACAAAATCCTTATTTATTGCTTTCAACAATAAGCCACTTATCTTTGCCATTTAAGCAAAGAAATAGGGTTTTGAGTCTGCTATGTATCTGTGTGCATGTGCATACTGTGTATAAATATTACCTACATATGCAACAGGCAAGAGCGAAAAAAAGACCTAAGAAAAGAAATTGTTATGTTTAAAGTATTCCATCAGTGTGAGAATAAACACAGTTATACAACGTAAAGGTCAGTATCATTCAGTGTATCAAAAATTGTTACAGGTGAGGAAGAGTATTTTGTTAGAAATGCCCATATTTTAATTTAGAGACACACAGGAAAATCAGGAAAGTTCAATGGTTCAGAAATATTGTGAAGCCACTTCACTGCAGTACTTCACTAGTATTTCCAAACACAGAGCACAGACTTTATCAAGTTACTCAAAACAATGTCTTCATAAAACGTTTTGCTGAATGAATTCATTACCAGCATAAGCAAAACAAAGTTTTTGAAGAGGAATAACACATTTTGTTACACTAGTTGGTCTACCTGAAAAAAAAGAGATTTTTTCTTTTTTAAGCACACAAACTTTCCTTTTGAACTCTTACCTATTTGTTTCCTGTACTGGTCAACAGGAGTCCTTGATGTAGAGGCATCTTTTCTACCCATCGTTTTCAATCCAAAAATCACTGCCAATATGGGGAAAAAAAAACCAAAACCAACATTATTCCTAATAAGTTACTAAGGAAATCAATTATTTAGCAGAAAAAAACAGTAACAAGCAACATTTACATGACTATACACAGAGATGAGCCTTTCCAGAGTAGAATGAGACACTGGAGCTAATCATCACTATTCTGAAAACTATTAGATACATTCTAAACACACCCTTTTCCCCATTGCATGGGGTTTTAACATTACAGAATGCCTATTAGTTTGAATAAAGATACAGAAAAAAGGAAGGATTTAAACTGACTGCACTGCAATTCAGCATTTGGTACCACTGAATTACATTCCTACATAATCTGTTTCTTTAGTAAACCAGGGAGTGAACAGAGCATTGTGAGCTGCTTCCATTATTGGCAAACACATTTGCATTGCACACAGGAGTCGCAGGCAAGACTAGGCATGTCCTACACACAGGTGTAATTGCTCGGGAAACCCAACCCCAGACACAGCCCTCCAGACACCTTGAGCAAAAGAGAGGAACAGATACCTAAAACACATCAACTCCACACACTCCTACCTTCCTGTCACGGGCTCTAGAGATCTGTGAATGAAAAGAAAGTGAAGAACAAAAATTGAGAGCTGGGGCTGTGTCCATTTTACACCTCTCATCCAAGTTATTCATACTTTAAATCACCTTCAATTGATTTAGGTAAAAACCATCCTGACTCTTGAATGGGTTTCTCATGTTGCACAGCGCATGCAGGTGACACTAGGATTGCACAGGGAACGGCACTATCATTTCATCCAAAGATGCTCTTTTTGGTACTTTGATGCTCCCACACCATCCATGTAACTGAACAAGTGTCATCTGAGTAGTGTTCTAGAAAGTTCCCAATATACATTTTAATGTGCAAAACCTTATAGTCTCATATTCATCCCCTCACAGGGCTGCCACTAAAATTATACAGTAAGATTCTACAAACATGCTCATTTCACCTCTTTTTCCTTAGCCAAGAAATAACTGGCTTTTACAGCCGTGCTTATTGCTCAAAACGGAATCACAGAATGGGTAAAGATGGAAGGGACGCCAGTGGGTTAACTGGTTTAACCTCCCTGCCCAAGCAGGGTCATCCTAGAGCACACTGCACTGAACTACATCCAGATAGTTCTTCAATATCTCCAGTGAGGGAGAATCTAAGACCTATCTGGGCAATCTGTTCCAGTGTGAGATCACCTGCACAATAAAGAAATTCTCATGCTCAGGCAGAACTTCCTGTATATCAGTTTCTGCCCCTTCTATGCTGTCCTATTGCTTGTCACCACTGAGAACAGCCTGGCTCTAATCTCTTGACACCCTTTCTTCACATACTTACAGACATTGACAAGATGTCTCTTCTTCAGCCTGATGAGGCCCAGCTCCCTCAGCCTTTCCTTGTAAGAGAAATGCTCCAGTCACCTAACCATCCTTTTTGCTCTCTGCTGGACCTGCTCCAGGAGCTCCATGTTTCCCTTGTACTGAAGAGCCCAGCACTGGAGACAGTGCTCCAAGATGTGGCATCTCCACGACTGAGCAGAGTGAGCAGAGTGACAAGATCAGCTCCCTCAATCTGCTGGCAGTGCTCTTCCTACTGCACCTGAGGATATCACTGGCCTTCTTGGCCACAAGGGCACTCCTGGCTCATGGACAACTTGTTGCCTACCTGGACCCCCAGGTCATACTACACAGAGCTGCTTCCCAAGAGGTCAGCATCCTTCCTGTACTGGTGCCTGTGGTTATTCTTGCCCAGATGCAGGACCCTGCACTTGCCCTTGTTGAATATAACACTGGGTTTGAACCATTCTGGCTGGGCTGAAGATGTCACTCAACACAGTGATGATACACTGTAGAATCCCAGAAGATAAGGGGCTAATGTGTATGTCGCAAACACCAATAGCTGGATGGCTGTGGAGCCAACCAAGGATTGCAAGTAATAAGAGACAAGAATTGCAGGTAATAACCAAGGATTGTTGGTAATAACATGCTGGGGGAAAAAACAAGATGTGACTAGAGAAGGGGTCCATGTGGAGGTAGGGCAGCACTCTTCTGGGACAAAAATCCTTGTTTTAGTTCCTGGAGATAAGCACAACACAATACAGCCAGCACAAGCACAGGAATGAGGCCAACAAGGGGGCATGGAATATAGGGAAGGACCCTGGACATCCCATCAGCCAGACCTACACTGGAACCAGGACTGGTGACCTCTTTTTCTCTTTCTTTCTTTCTCTCTTTCTCTTCCCTTCTTTTTTCCTTTTTTATCTTACCACTTTATCCAAAACCCATCATCACATGCTTACATAGTAGGTCAGGGACTAACATACCATTTTCCACGCCAAGTGTGTAATTTACTAATAAAACTTTGTGAGTTTCTGTGGACCCTCTGACTTTTGTCATTCCTTTCAACCATGAGCATTTACCAATCTTGGCTTGGAATTTACACTCCCTTCCCCTTAAGGGTGGAACGTCACATAAGCCCCACCATCTGATTGCCTCTACAACAGAGTACCAACATCAAAACCCACACTCATGAGAGGACTGACATTTTCCAGAAGTGTCAGATTTACTGTTCAAGCACAGAACACTCACAGCAGCCAACCCTTGCCTTTTCCCAACTGGCCTTGGCGAGCACAGTGCCAAGGGCAAACTTTGGCTGAATCATCCTGGGTAGCCACAAACTGTCTGCAGATTGTGCACATATGGCCTTGGAGTATCTGCAAGAGTTGTACTTTTCTGCTAGGCATAACCAGCTGTGTTGCAGCAAGACAAGCTTCCCCGGTCTCTGCCAAAGCACACTGTCTGGGAAGCGCAGGCCCTGAAGGCACTAAGATGCCAAACCATGAGCCAAAAACCATGCCACAGCACTGCTGAATGGGCTACTGTTAGCATCCCAAGCTTAAACACCATTCAGCATTATTTCCTTCATAGCTTCAATCAATGTTTAAAATACAGCGGCAGGAATGATCCCACCAGTTATTTGTGCATTTTAAAACCACAGAGTTTATTATCTTGTATTTACCTCCTCTATAACAATTATTGAAATGTGATGTTAAGTGACAAATCCAGGCTCCTCAATTTCATGTGTGGGACATAGTATAAAAGGAACTTAAAATCCGCCAGTGTCAACAACCTTTTTAAAACTTTTTCAGGAATAATAACGAGGTATAGAAGACTGCCACTACTTTTTATCTGACCTGAACATTCAATTATAGTGTTCTAATGTGTCCATACATTGGTTTAATTCACAGACTACTCCCTATTTTATGTAAAACACATAAGCAGTAAACTGTAATCTAGTGGGTTTTGGGGTTTTTTTCCTCTGTATTACGCTTCTCACGAATTCTCTAGACTGAGTTGTATTTCTCACATAACATTCACATAATAATTAGAGTGGAAAATAAAAGTACCACTTGAACTTTCAGCTAATTGAGGAGATAACAGATACATTTTTACACTGCAAAACTAGTTCTTGGCTTTTTTATGCCACTGTTAGAGACTGTTTTGACTTGCCTTTTGCAATTTCAATAGTCTACTAATGTTTTGTAACAAAACATCAGCTGTGAAAGATGTTTTCAGTTTTAGCAGTGCCAATAAAACAGAAGAAGAAAACACAGGCAAAAATTATTTCCTGACTTAATATGAGCCACAGAGACACTTGCATTTGCTCACATGGCTTGGTGTCACTGACTCCCACATCTAGAACCTCGACTCCTCTTTGTTCTTCAAAGGGATGCAGTAATCATCATTCATTTCCACTGCTTTGATGGTTAGATAGCAAACACCCAGGAAACCCATGGAGACATTGGCACACACAGCCGCGATGTCTAATAAGACAGCTATTTGCATAAAAGATCAGCCACAATTTAGAATGTGTTGTGATAAATGTGGAAAGGGAATAACAGATCTATATTAGCACGTACGAAACCGAGATTGTTTTCACAATTTAATTCCTTGGGGATTATGGCTCATCACCTTCTCTTGTAAAGAATCTTGCATTCCCTGAGGAAGCAACTTGCCATGAGCCAGACTTAAACTAAAATATGGATTAATAAGAGGTAATATTTATTATTTATGAGCCTCACTGTAGGAGTGGTTTTCAATGTAACTTTCTGACTGTATTTCCATAAAGGAAAAGCCTGAAACCTTTATGAGTTACAAAATGAATTCTCTCCCTTTTAAATAGCAATGGTCATGCTAGAATAATAGGTCATCTTAACTTTACTGCAAAGTAAATTTGCAATCAGGTCTCTGGTCACTCCACAGTGGAGGATCTGGCTTCTCCTATATTTCTTTGCCAAACCAAAAGGAGAGGCAGCATGCCATGCTGCGTGCACCCCGAGCAGCCTTCAAGTCCCTGGAATTTTAATGACTACATAACCATTTTAAAAAAAACATGTAAAGGAACTTGTCACTGCTCCTTTTACAGGTTACTAAAAATACTTAGAGAGTAATTTCAGATAATTTGAAGGCAACGTGAGCTGTCCTCAACTTTCAAGCTTTTATATAAGATGGCTTTAAGAAAACAAACCAAGTCCCAAACGAATGATTTTTCATTTATTTCTACTTTGGAGATACTACAAGATTAAAACACATCCTTGTTTTTGTGCCACCCTTCACTGGTTTTTCACCCCCTTTCATTTCCCATCTAGTAATTCACCTTTGAATGTTTACACCCTCAGAATAACACAAGATTTTATTTTTCACATTTTATTCCTAAGCACTGACTGATAATAATTAAAACACACAATAAATTGTCTATTATCACCTCCAACTGTCAATAGCATTTTGTGAGATAAAATTCAGTTCTGAATGTCTACTCAAGGTATGGCTACAGGAGTGTTTAAATCCCAACCCACTATTGTATCAACCCCCAAAAAATTGAAGCAATTACTTTAAAGAAATAGAAACATACCGTGAATGACTTCAGAAATACCAATAAAAAATAAGAATAGGGACTATGCAGCAGAAACACTGCACTTTGTG